TATGCCCAGTTAGTGATTAAAGAATATTCACCATAAGAGACATTTGGTATTTTAAAGATTCTTACGTGATGTTCCTTTATTACAAGACTATTCATTTTCCCAGTGGACATTTTGGTTGTTTTATCATTTTTGACTATTGATTATTTAGGCTTGCCTTTTTATGTAAAATAAATTTATGTAACTTTACTGAACAGAAATAAAAATAAAGAACAAAAAACAACCATAATGGCAAGATTTATGGACCAAACTTGAAAATTCCCAAATAGTTCATAGTCATACAACTTCATAAAATGTTTTATAATTGAATAAAATATTTGAAGCTTGATATTTTTATGTCTTAATTTTATCCTCAGAACTTCTCATGAAAATATTTACTTTATTATTTTATTTTTTAACATTTAATGCTAAAATATTTTGGTTTATATTGTTTGTTTATATATGCAGCCATAATTGTGCAAATGATAGATCATTTATGGCCTCAATGAATAAATTATAGAAAACATAATTTGGATGTCTTCCCTTGAAAATAAAGTCCCACTAAGAGTTCCTCAAAGTGCAGTTTCAATTAAGTATAGAGTTACCCTGGGACTTCCCTCCTCCTTCTTTGGCTATGATTGTATCCAGCCAATAACTATTTAGATGGTGTTTCCTTCCCTGGCTAAAAAAAGAAAAAAAGAAAACAAATGGTCATAGTCAGTCTGTAAACTAGATATTCATATGTGGAAGTGGAAAACTTGAGCCCTCTCAACCTATAGAAAGGTAAATCAAAATGGATCAAAGACTGCAAGGCAAAACCTGATATTAAAACTACCAGAAGAAAACACTGGGGAAACATATTAAGCCATAAATGTAGGCAACACTTTTCTTTGGATAACACTTCAAAAGTAAAGGAAATAGAAACAAAAACAAACAAATGGAATTATATCAAACTAAAAGGTTTTCCTCAGCAAAGAAAACCATCAAAAGGGTGAAAAGACAGCACAATTAAAATAGAGGATACAGATACTTCTAAAAGGAAAAAATTCCAATGGCCAACAAATTTATGAAAAAATGCTTAATTTCAATACTTGTCTGGGGATTGCAAGTCAAAACCACTATGAGCCAAGTACAGTGGCACTTGCCTGTAATCCCAGAGGTGGGGGAGTCTGAGGCAGGAGGACAGCAATTTCAAAGCCAGCCTTAGCAACTTAGAGAAACCCTAAGCACTGGGCAAGACCCTGTCTAAAAAGGACTTGGGATGTGGCTCAGTGGATAAGTGCCCTGGGGATCAATCCCCAGTACCAAAACAAAACAAAAACAAACAAACACACAATAAGGTATCACTTAACCTAGTTGCACTGGCTTTTATCAAAAAGCCAAAAAGAAACAAATGCATGCAAGAATGAGAAGAGAAAATTCTCCTCATTCATGTTACAACACCTAAGAAGAAGAACATATGTTTCTCAAAAAACTAAAAATAGATCTATCATATGATCCAACTATACCATTTTTAGGGATCTATTCAAAGAGAACTATTCCAGTATAATGAAGAAAAGTACATAATCGATGTTTGTTATTACAATAGCTGGAGTCAAAATATGCTCATCAACAGATGAATGGTAGGGAGAACATGGCATATGTACACAATGGAATATTATTCAGCCATACAAAAACATGTTATCCCACCATATGTAGCAAAATGAATGGAAACGTGGAACATTATGGTAAGTCAGACAAAGACAAATACCATGTTTTCCTCAAATGAGGGTGTTTAAATAAAAGTCAATGAGAATATAGAATAGTGATTATGAGAGGCTGGGAAATAAGGAGGAAAGAGGACATTCTGGGAAGTTGGATACCAGGTATCCAGGTGCAATTAAAGAGAAGTAATAAGTTCTGAAGAAGATAAGATGGCTATATTTTACAATACCCTTCTATGTATTTTATGAAAAACTAAAAGAGAGAAGCTCCAAAGTCTCCCACTGAAGCAATGATAAGAAGATGGAAAAATTAATTAGGGTTAATTATCTTGATTTGATCATTACACACTACATACATGTATAAAATGTCACATTGTACCCCATATTAGTACAAAGTAACAATCTAAAAACAAAAAGTTAGTGAACTGGGGTACAGTGAACATCAAAAAGAGCTACAGTCAAATCTAAAACAAGGAAATGACAGAAAAAATAATAAATTCAAAAATTATAAGTGTAATCTTGTCAGCAGGAAGAAGAATAGAGGATACACACAAAACAGCGAGTCTACATATTGCAGTCTAAGTTTTCTTCTGACCCTGGTAAACTTCAATCCTCCTGAAAACATATTGACTTTCTTTCTATTGTGTTGATATTTTAATATTCTCTGCCTATAAAACTTGAGTTCATTTTAAGGCATTTTATGCTTTCCTTATAAGCTAAAAATCTTTGATTAAAATAATATTTTTAAAAAGAATCACTGTATGTCAAGGACTCAGTGGAACATTTTGCACTAAACAATTTCTGGAACAGTTTTCAAAATCAAAAATATTTAAAAAAATTCTAATTTGGTGATCACAATATGAAGCCTAGGCTGTTGTTCATAGGGTTAAACCCTGATTTTTGGTTCTGTTTGGCTATTCAGAGCATTCATATTTTTATTATGATTCATTACAGTCCTTAAAATGAATAGTCCAAAGAATATGGGCCACAACCCAAAGGATTATATTTCAGGTAAATGCCTTATATTTTAATAGAAACTATAATAGTTTGGTATTAATTCATAATAATATAATGTATAACTTGTTAATATTTAGCCTTTGAATTAAATAAATTAATTATTTATATTTTAAATTAAATAAAATTGAACACATGTAAATATATGTATGTAAATATTATACTATTAATATATTATGCTCATACTGAAGAGCACTATTTATAAATGCAGTCTATATAAGAGAAAAAGGCACTCATACTTTTCTCAAATGAATTACATGCTAGTTGTTTTTTTGTTTTTGTTTTCTTAGAAAGCATCGTGACCTAGGATCATTGAGGTAAATAACCAAGAAAGAAACACATTATTTCAACTCAATACAATAAAGTAAAAACAACAGCTCTTCAAGAAGAGCAAATTTTCACATGCTTAAACAATATTATTATTTCATTTCGTACATTATAGTAAGTTAGCAGTGTTGATGTGTAAGTGTGTAGATATAATTATTTATTGGTTAGTCAACTGCATGTAATTAACTATGCCAGTAATTTAATGAAGGTAAGTGAGCTTATCTTCATTGTTTTTTAAAGTGAAAAAGTGTATAAAGATGCTTGTACAAAAATTCTCACTTTGGCATTTTTCTAATCACTAAAAACTGCAAACAAACTTGATGTAAAAATAAAAGATTGGTTTAAGAAATATAGCCAGGATGGGATACACGCACACACTATCCCTAATTTTTCTCTCCACAAAAACTATGTAGCTATTAAAATGTTGATTGAAGTTTACATTCATTCACATGGAGTATGTGTATCACAAGTTATATGAAAATCAGACTGAAAGTGTAATTTACAGTATGATCCAATTATAATTAGTTAGTATTAAATATATGTACATGTATGCTTAAAATAACATGCGGTAGGATAAATACTAAATGTTATTGTCCCTAGTTGGCAAAAAAAAAAAATTCACACATAAGCTTTTTATTTTCTCATATGTTTTCCATATGCTTATATTATTTTAAAATTGTATAAAATAAAAATTTTCAGTTGCAATTAGATTTGGAATAAAAGCACTAATTTACCTCACTAACTGTCTAGCAGCAGTGGTCTATGCTTTGCACAAAACACATGTGCATTGGGTTAAGGATTTTCAGAATACAAGGCCTTGCACTTTGATGAATGATGTGCTGATAGCACTGTGGCTACAGAATTGGAAATTCACAAAAATTCAGAGTAGTAAATGACATAGTGTTAATCTTCTTCTCATGCTCTTCCTCCCTGTTCATAACCCACTTGAATAAAATGTATGAAATATGATTATATCAAGAGCTATGTAATGTTTTGAACAACCGATAATAAAAAAAGGACATAGTAATCCACATTAAAATAAGGGGTAAACTGACACATTTTAGACATGAAGATTAAGGAATCATCTTCTCCTAACTTTCTGTAAAGTGGATTGTAAATGCTGACCAATGATGTGAGGTAATTCAGGCTCATTAAACTGAAAACCTGATGTTTAGGTTCCATAAACTGGGAATTTGGGGGTAGGCATGTTTAGACATACTCTTGAAATGTCTAGATCCCTATCCATTAATTACTGGTTATGATCCACTCACCCTCACTTCCCTTTTCTGCCCACAAGAAAGCTGGGTATGCATATGAAAACAGAGTAACATATAGGAGCTACTTAAATCTATTCAAGTTTTTTTTTTCCATCTTTTTCAAAAGTGAGTCATTGAGCAACTTTGATAATTTAGCTGTTCTTAAGAACAAAATACTTAAGTCATGCTGCTAGAGAACTACTCGACTAGGACAGCACAGGAAATTTGTTCACTTTCTTTTGCTCTTCTGACAGCCACATAAGCACATTGTCAAATCCTTTTACCAAGGTTTAGAACTTGCAAGACAGTAACTATGAGGGCACCCTCCAAACTTCTGTCCTCAATGCCACAGCTGTGTGGCATTGTTATATTTTGCCATTGTTAGAGAGAAGTGGATTATAGCCATGCCTGTCCTACTCTGCCATTACCACCTCCATATTACATGCATTCTATTCTCTTCTTGTTCAGAAATCTGACAAGCTTCCAGGATCTTAAAAGGGAAATTTAATGGTTCTCTCAGACACAGATGCTCCTTTCCTTTCTCATGGTTCTTTCAAGTAGTTGATTTTTTTTTATGGTCAAATATGCAGGAAATAAACTTAAATTACATGAAGAAAATCAAAATTGTATCAACAAACATATGTAGACAGTTAAATGATAATAAAGTTATAACACAGGGACAAAATTAAAAAAAAAAAAAACAAATAAACAAACAAACACTAACATCTCTGTCCAGAACTCTGCCTGTGCTGTTCAGGAAAAGCATTTGTTTAACAGGATCCAACAACACCCAGTAATCCACGTTGTCCTTTAAAGAGAGTTCTATGGTGGGGTCTGGTCCTCCAGCAGTCCCTTTTATCAGCATGTTGTCCACCAGAATCGTACCTGCAAACCAAAGAAAGTTATTTGAAACCATATTCTATGCATATGCATTCTTTAGCAAAGATTATGTTTTTAAACTGCAGCTGACTTATTAAAGCATAAAATATTCAACTGTACATCTAACATACAAAACTTCCTAATGTCAAAAAGGCAAAAAATACCTTCATTATACTATTTATAAATGATTTTGTGGGGAGATGAAGATGGGAGGAATAGATTCAAACACTTGGTGAGTTTCATCATCTACTTCTTGTTTCCTTTTAACAGGAATCTCATCTCTTCTCTGTCCATCACTTCTCATGGGAGTTATCATTAAATTTTATCCTGAACAAAAGGAAATGCCTGTAATAACAGTCTGATACTTCAATTCACTCTGTAAGACTTCTGATATGAAAAGAGATATCGTGAAAATAAGATAGAGGAAGAAAACGGAAGAGATAAAGCAGCAGCAGTGTCTCCCAGGGTGAGAATGGCATCTTTTTCTTTTATCTTAAAGCAAATCCATAAAACATAAATCTTAATGTGAAAGACAAAACTAGTGTGCAGACACACAATAGAAGCCATTCTTTTTTAAGACATGTCTGGGGTACTCGACTAGAACAACAGGCTATTCCAATGTAACATTTTGATGCTTGAAGCTTCCTTATTATATTTTCAGCAGGCTGAATTGTAGACACTTCCTGAATAAGAGTTGAAAAGAGAGTAAGTCTCTGATCTTTCCTACTTGTTAAAGATTCCAAGCATTTTACAAGTTGAACGTAAATGGCATTGATGTAACTAAAATCTCATCCCCCTCACCCACAACCCCACCCCCAGCAATGATCTCTTTCCCAAACAATAATGTCCTATGGCTTATGGCAATCATTTTCAACTGATCCATTTTATTAAACTTACGGCTATAGAAAGGATGTGGCTATGCAAATAAAAATGTACTCTCCTAAAGACAGTAGGATAAATCGCAAATATCTATAAAACTCCTTGCCTTAGAATAGCAAACAAGGATATATAGATAATCCATAAATATGAATCTGGCTTAAAGAATATGATGGAAAATCTAAGAGCCTTGTTTTCTTTAGGCATAAATTTGTTCAAATGTTATTTGGTTACATAGCTACAAGAAAAGAAAGGGAATTTCTTTGTAAGATATTCCAAGTAATTAAATAAAAATAACTGTCTATTGTACTTCCAGGAATTTTCTAAGAAATTTTATAAGAAGACATTATTTTTTTTATGGATCCACCAACCTAAATAATGTTTAAACTCTAACTCTCTCTCTCACACACATATACACATATACCTTTCTAAATGACAGAAATTTTCCTTTTAGTTTTTTATTTGCTGGCATGTAAAAATGTAAATATTGAGTGAAACCTGTCTTACTAGTTTATGACTTACCTGGTAAATGAATAACCTTCAGACAATACACCCCCAAAGTACAAGTCAGATGTTGATGTCATTTTCTGACCTGTAAGTCTGTCCAAATATATGCTCAGGGCCCCAGTACACACATTTTTGCAAATATTTTATACAACTCATCATTGAAAAATTATTCAGTCAACTTCCAGATGTAATTAAGAAAAGAAAAGGAACTCTATTTTCTGATAAAAAAGAGAAACACATAGTAGGCAAAACAACTCATGTTAATTTTTATGCCTTGACTCAGTGAGTAAGAATAGCAGCAGCAAGCTTCTCTGTAATGTACACGTATACCAAATGGAAACGCCAAGGCACAGGCATTGAGCTCTCCTTTGTAAACAAAGATAGAAAAGATTGTAATACCAATCTTCACTTCTACTAAAGCAGTGAAACAAAACATTCTATCTGGTCTTACAATTTATTTAATTATGTTTGAAAATTTCATGGAGATTTAAATAATTATCTTGCTCTCCAAACTCCACTATGTCCTTCAATGATTGAAACTCAGCAGTATTTCTACTGCTACTAAGCTAAAAAGAAAAACATTATGTGATTTTTGTTTTTATTCTCACCATTCATACTGACAAAAATCTCTCAAGACTTTCATATGCCATACTGCCCTAGATCAATAGTCGAAGAAAAGAAGAAACACAAGGATCATTCACGCTTACTGCAAGGATCAGTGTTTCTTTTTTAAGATTAACCTAGGTGTCCACCCTCTGGCCTAGACAACCCTGTTCTTCTGCCTATTTACCCCTGTGATTAGAAAAACAGGTAGCATCCAAGCTGAATTTAATCTTAAACCAGAAACTTGTCACTCTTTTCCACCCTAGGATGGGGAATGTTTCTTCCCAGAGGTTTCCAAATGTCTAGATTTGGGCAGCTAATGTTATAACCCAGTGCAGGTGAGTAGCTGACCAGTAGTATAACCTAGGTATATTGGAACAATGTGGTCCTTTAATTCCTCTCTTGCTTGCAAGCTTCCCTCTAAACAAAACCTCTTATTTAATCCTTCACATGTGATATTTAAATTACATTCCCAGCCTTAACTTCAGTCTAAATATAAAGACAGATAGGATACACAGTGCAACACAAATAAGACAGCTGAGTGTTTCTAATATTATAGGGATAAAATGGCATATTCTGTGACAATAAGGCAATCAACTGAAACTAGAGTTGAAATGAGGAAAAACAGGACTCGGGACAATAAATAATTTGATAGAGTAGGACTTCTGTAATAATAAAAAAAATTCTTGGAGAACTGGAATGAAGAGGAAAGCTTCAATTAGTACATAGAAGGAAATACTGGACTTGAACCAGAACAGCTACAGATGCTCCTTCAGGTGTCATTCATTTGCCCAGAATCTCCCAAATAGGCTTTCCACACTCAGTAAAGGGACAATTTGTCAAATAGTAACAGCTATGTAATGGCTAGGCATTGTGGCCTGCCTTCCACATAGAAAGGGGATTAAAATAAATCTAATGGGATTCTCTTCCTTTCTCCTCAGTTATATCTATATAACTTGCAAACAGATTAATTCTGAGTTCATCTAACCTTCTTTTCTTCCTTATTACCCAATTATTTAATTTTTTCTTTCATTTGATAAATACATTCTCAGGAATAGATGAATAAATAAATAGTAGAAGCAATTAGTGCTGACCTTGAAGAAACCTGCCTTGAAGAATAGGTGATACCGAAGACTGGACTCCCTTTACATGAAGATTTTCTTTCATCATAACAAAAGTGTTGGTTATTAGGACAAAGAAATTGAATTAACTTATATTTATATCACATGAGTTAAGACAGCTGACTCTAGAATTGATATGCTTAGAATCCACCCTTGCTGTTCATTTCCAGCTATGTGAAAAAGGATAGATTATCCACAATTCTCTCATTATACGAAATCAGTACCATAACTGAAAAGGTATCCCTACTATAATAGCATATATACGTACCTGGGAAGGACCTGTATTCTTATATCTCGAATAGTAACAAAAAGTAAAATAATCATAATTGCAATAAAAATGTTAGCACGGTTATATGTTTTAGTGGTATTTTAGGCATGTATCACGGTTATTGAAATGTGTGTTTCTATTTCAAATAATGGAGAATAACTTGTTACTAATTAGATATGTTTAACCCGATTTAAACTTTTTAGAATACATATATGTACTAAACATTATATGGTAATGCAATTATCATTAACATGTACATTTTTATATTTTTATGAGTCATTTAAAAGTTATTTTAAATTTTAAAAAAATAGAAAGTAAAAAGAAAAAAAAGAAAACTTCATGTCATTAATCTTTATTAGTCTGTTATTTTATTTCAGACAAATAAACCTGCAGCTCAGTGATCTGTACTCCCAGACTCTCTAGAGAGTTTAACCTATTATCAATGATACTTGTTCATGTAGCCAATCAGGAAGACTTTCACTAAACACAGGTGCACCGATAGATTTTCACATTTTTCCCTTTAAGATCTTCTTACATAGCAAAATTTTTCTTTTTAATTAGGAAAAATAGCTTTTTCAGATTGTGTCAAAACATAAATTTAATGGAAAATAGGTTAAGAATCAATACAGCTGCCTCATAATTCCAACTTCCTTTTCCTACTTACCAATTATACATAAGGTAATTTGTATCAAAAAAGAATTGGTGAGATTTTGTTGAATACTAAAAGTGATAACTCATACAAAGTGCTGATTGTAGTCTCTGATACAGAAAATAACTTTAAAAATGTGAGTAATGGTTATTGTTGTTGATGTCATAACTCCATTTGGGAAACAAAAAGTATCAAAAGCTAAAGCAAAATAAGTCACAGAAGTCTTTACACACCAAATCTACTGTTCCTGTCACAAAGCTATGGTTAACATGTTTGGTCACCACTTAGGTGTGGCAAACAGTCAGGAAGAATTTATATGGACTTAAAATATTTAAGTCCAAAATAATTATTATTGGAAGTTAGGAGGGAGGGAAGGATCACTCCCTCTAGATATACTTGTAAAGAGAACCCTCTGTCAAGGTCTTCCTGCATTATAAGTCCATGGCCATGCAGTTCATCCAGGATTGCAGATATCAGAGAGTGACTTCATTCTTTCAATTCTAATCTCAGACAACTTTGAGTTTTATCATCAAATCTCAAACTAGAATTAAGTTTTAGCTAGAAGGGATCATAGTCAACAACTACACATTGATACTAGAAGATAATTTTATACTGAATACTTTTTATTCATCCCAGGAGTATTTGATTCTGTTAGGATACAGTGTGTGTGTGTGTATGTATGTTTGCCATACACAAGTACACACATATATATATACATCACACACAATATACATATGATGTATATTATAAAACAAAATATATGTGTGTGTTATAAATTATAATTTCATACTCAGTATTTTCCTGCAGAAATTATTTGCTTCTTTAAATAACAGGCACATTAATCTCTAAAAATATTGTGAAAGTGGCGTTGGGGAGGAAGGTCCATTGCCTTTCTAATTAACCTAATTCAATGAAGCTGAAAGAGTCTGTTCTACAGAGAGAGCAAGTAATTGACTGATTGGATTCATTCCAAATTCTTAAT